CCCAGCAGGTCGAGGCTGCGGTGGCCGGGAGTGTGCCACTGCACTCCAGTCTGGGTGACCGAGTGAGACTCCAACACACACACAACACACACACACACACACACACACACACACACAGAAAGAATACAATAAACCACATGTGGTGGCTCACACCTATAATCCCAACTGCACTCCAGTCTGGGTGACCGAGTGAGACTCCAACACACACACACACACACACAGAAAGAATACAATAAACCACGTGTGGTGGCTCACACCTATAATCCCAGCAGTTTAGGAGGTGGAGGCAAGAGGATTCCCTGAGCCCAGTTTGAGGCCAGCCTGGGCAAGACCTCATCTCTACAATAAATCAAAAAAATTAGCCAGGCATGGTGGCGCACGCCTGTAGTTCCAACTGCTTGAAAGACCAAGGAGGAAGGATTGCCTGAGCCCAGCAAGTTGAGGCCGTATGTGTGCCACTGCATTCTAGCCTGGGTGACAGAATGAGACTACGACTCAAATAAAATAAAAAACCAAGGGTCATTATGGAAAAATTAGAAAATAAGCAAGCCGGGCTCGGTGGCTCAGCCTGTAATCCTGCGCCTTTGGGAGGCTGAGGTGAGTGGATTGCCTGAGCCCGCGGGTTTGAGACCCGCCTGGGCAACTTGGCGAGACCTCATCTCAAAAAAAAAAAAGAAGCAAAAATAATAAATATAATCCTACCCCAAAGGAAAACACCTGTGTTACCCTTACAAGTTATATGTATATGAATGTTTTGGGGGATTAAATATTCATCATAATTTTTCTTTCAGCTATTGAAGCATATTGCATATACTCTTTCAAAACCAGCTATTTAAAAGTTAACTGCATGAACGTTTTTATGAGTCATTAAGTATTTATCTACATCCTTTTTAATAGCTGAATAGCTTCTTTTTTGAGTTGGAGTCTCACTCTGTCACCCAGACTGGAGTGCAGTGGCCACTCCCGGCCACCGCAGCCTCGACCTGCTGAGCTCCGGCTATCCTTCTGCCTCAGCCTTTCAAGTAGCTGGAACTACAGGCGCGCACTACCACACCTGGCTAATTTTTTTTGATTTATTGTAGAGATGAGGTCTC